CACGGCGTTTCTGCGGTCCACTATGCGATCGCAAAACCTCTTCACGGGCCATAGATCGGCCGCAGAATGCAACAAGACTTAAGCCAATTTTTGGAGGTCATTATGCGGTCCACTATGCGACCGCTTAACCATTTCGCGAGCCGCAAATCTGTCACAGAACCAGCATGAGAAAACTTTGGAGGAAGATTCTGCGGCGCGTTATGCGACCGCATAACTGATATGCAGACCGCGGATCTGTTGCAAACTGGACCAGGCCAACCCAGTTTTGGAGGACCATTTTGCGGTCCATTGTGTGGACCACATACCTGTTCTGCGGTCCACTCTATGACCACATAATTGAGTTTGGATGGTCCATTTTCTGATTTTATAACCCAACCCTATTTCCTATAAAACGACCTTGGGGCTATTTTTGCTTGTTTAATCAGATATTTTAAGAGTGAGGTGAGGAACCAGAGAGAGAGGGAAGAACTCCAACACCTACCACTTCAATACCTTGCCCAAGCCATAGAGAATTTACAAGGGATGTTCACAAGGTCTTCATCTAGAGAGGTAAGGTTCCATACCCTAGTCTCTAATTATGAGTTTGGGCAGAAGTTGGGTAATGGGGATTTTAATTCTTGGGTATGTGAGTTGTTATTTATGCATGCATGTACCAATAAGGAGGGTGGGGAGGTCATTGAACTAATATGGGTAAGCTTTTGGTGTTGAATTGGTTGTGGGGTGAAGGAAATCTTGTAGAAGAACCTTGTAGTTAAGTTGCACACATAGTGTTTGATAAAATACTTAAATGAGTTGAATCCGTGAACCTCTTCCTAAGTGTGGTTCAATTTTGTTATGTCTCTAAATAGATTGAAGTTGCTAGGATTTCTGGAATATTGTAGTAATTTAAGGAAAGATCAAGCCGAGGTATGTTGGCTAAACTTCTCTCATAAAATTGAATTCCATGATGTTCTCATAAGTTGCAATTATGATTGGCTCAAGTTACTCTTTCTCATATTCTGATTCCTTCCTAGAAAATTTGATTATTTTAAATGAGTGTTGTGTTGAAAGATGTTTATACTCAAAATGTGTGAAGGCAACTCAACGTGCTTAAGACTTATAATGCTCACATACAGATTTAAAGTCTTGGTTTCAAATGCTTTTATTGTTGATAACCTATGGTGATGCTTGAAAGTGAAGGAAGTGGTTATGAAATATAAAATGTGGCCACCATGCCAAGGATGAAATTACACTTGTGGTCAATAGTGCCAATGAAATGAAAGGAATGCATGAAAGACTATGAAATGAGTTTTAACTTCTTTATATAATAACTGTTTTGGGAGCATCATTTAGTCACCGAGGAAGGGTAGGTTGAAATAACTTAACCCCGAAACTACACGTGCCGGCGTGGGAGTGATTGATGGGTAAACCCCCGTATTGATGTGTTAAGACTATTCCCCTTAAATAGGATGAGATTGGTGTGTTGAGATTATTCCCCTTATTTGGGATGAGGTGATTGCTAGCGGAAAGTTATGTCGACCCATACGACATTGTGGTGAGACGGCTTAACCGATCGAGCTGAGATCGAACATCATGCTGCACACATGGTGGTGTTGTGATGGGATGTCTTTGAGTAAGATGGCTTAGCCGATCGGGCCGTGATCGGACTCCGTGCTAAAACTACGGTGGTATATCAGTACTAAAGATCTCCCAACCTAAAAAATTATTATTTACTTGAAATTTATCTTTCTCTTAACTTGACATTGTTATATTGTTTGAGGCTCTCATTAATTCCATGTTCTTTCTCATTGTACTGTTACTCGTTCTATTGAGAGGGTGTTTAGTCTTACATACTAGTACTATTCTATGTGTACTAACGTCCCTTTTTTCGGTGGCGCTGCATCTTTAATGGATGCAAGTGGTTCCACAACAGGCGACATCGATCAGTGATAGCGGTACACCCTGTTTCCAACTGACTTTGTGAGCCCCACTTCATTTTGGGGTCTTGTATCTTTTGTTCCTTATATATAGTGTTTTGAGGTATAGCCTGGGCCTTGTTGCCGGCACCATCATATTACTCTCTTATATCCATTAGAGGCTTTGTAGATATAGTGTGGGTTGTATCTTGGTTTTGGGAAAGTCAAACTAAAGATGTTGTACTTGTATCACATGTTTCCACTCTTAAACTATGAATGTGTAATGTGTTTTGGGAATTTCAAATGAAGTAATTAATGGTAATGAAATTGTGTTGTTCACGTGATCTTGTTATTGTCTAATTAATGGAAATGCACCTTCTCTTTATTCATGGGTAAGTTCGGGTAGAAGGCATTGAATAAGCTTACTTGACTGAGGTATCTCTGTTGAGTGTCAGTCGCGCTCCCGGTGGTTGGGGCGTGACACAAATATAGCATGTGCTATAAGTAATTTGAGTCGTACACGAGTAATTCAGTTCAATCTCATTGGATGGCAATGAAATGAGTTTTGAGATATTTAAAACCTACCCAGGACTTTGCTTTGCACTACAGTAAGTATCATGCGGTTATTGAGGGATACAGTGATGCAAATTGGATCACCGATTCAACTGATTCTAAGTCCACAAGTGGATATGTATTCACTATTGGTGGAGGAGCGGTATCTTGAAAGTCGTCCAAATAAACTTATATTGCCCGCTCTACAATGTGAGTTCATAGCCTTAGATAAAGCCGATGAAAAAACTGAATGGCTCCGAAATTTCTTGGAAGATATTTTATTTTGGCCCAAACTGTTGGCACCAATATTCATACATTGTGATAGTCAGCGGCAATTGGAAGGGCTGGGAGCGCTATGTATAATGGTAAATATCGTCATACACGACAAAGACATGAAGTCGTTAGGCATCTACTCTCTAGGGGGATTATCACAATTGACTACGTAAAGTCTAGCAATAATGTGCCTGATCTGCTTACAAAAGGCCTAACTAGAGAGGTACTTGAAAGATCATCGAGGGGAATGAGACTATGGACGAGGACATGTCATTGTGGCGATAACTCCACCTAGAAGACTGGAGATCCCAAGATCTTGTTCAAGGAAATCAAACAAAGTCATTAATAACAGTTCAACATTATCAACTAAAATTTTGGTCCATTCTCGTGATGAGACAATGTTCAGTACCAAGGATAAAACATTAAGTCTTTTTAATGATTTCTAAATTTGATACGGGGTATATCAAAGAGCGTATCTACGGGATGACACGTTTAGGAATCATCTATGTAAGTGTGAAGTATTAGCCGTTTCAAGGAAAATTTTGCAAGGCCAGTACTCTACGCACTTATGAAACCAGATGATGTTCATGGTTGAAACGAACACAATAATTAGAACCAAAGATGGTTAAGGGTTGATTGTGTGAATTATGGTTGTCTAGGTATACACTAAAGTTCGACGGTTCAAAGATATCAAATCTACCAATTAACTGAGTATATCCGATATAAGTTCACTACGGAAAGTTCAAAGGGAAACCTACTTATCCAGATGCGATTAATCCTTGTTTGTAAATCACACAGTTTTTTCATGCATTTTTTTGTGATATATCCATTCCTAAATAATGTGAGGGATCGTTGGGTTTAAGCTTATTATAGCTTAAAATAGAGTGAATAGGAAATGGAGGGAAAAATAAAATATTTGAATTTCCTCTTTGACAAAAGGGACAATATCCCATATTGGAGGAGGAAAAGTATTTTGATGGGTATATATATATATATATAATTGCTCTTCTTCTCAGCTCTTTAAGAGCTTAGAATAATGCAAGCCTCGCGCCGTCGTCGGCATTGGATTCAGATTCGGCTTTGGGTTTGGATTTGGTCAAATGATCTTACTGATTGATTAATTTTTTGGACCAAATTTATTTGTTAGATATTAATATTTAATCCAAATCGACTGTTTTTGTAACGGTAATTTAAAGTTTCCCTCAAATTTTATTTTTCCATTTTATTTTGCGTAAATAGCCATTTACATAATAGCCGTTTTATGTGACCGGTCATCTTAAAGGATTGCACCTCTTCGTTTGAACCCAATCTGTTGGCTATAAATAGCAGGACATTCCTCAGCTTTTCCTTACGAAAATTCCGAATTCTCCTTCTTTCTTCTGCATTGTTTTAATTTAGAGAAAGCAACAATAAGTGTGATTTGCTACCGATCATTTGTGTTCGCTACAATACTGTGTTTGAAGTACTGCTACACCAGTGTGTAATCCGTTCTATCATGGGAGGAAATAATCCATAACCTCGGGTACTAGGAGGGGATTAAGTTCCTTAAGGAAACACTGTGAATTCAGTGGGCTCGGATTAATTTCTGCTTGTTCTACATTTCTATTTTTTTTACGTTATTTTTATTCTCCAGAATTATTTTACGGATGTAGATTACTAACACCGTCAAGAATCCACCTTCATTCGTTTGCTTATTGCCTATATAAATTCGCTCATTTTGTTGTCTTCTTCACCTCTCAACATCTCTTAACAACTGTGATAGCTGCTAATCTAGTGTTTCATGAAAGGACCAGGCATATTGATATAGACTGTTATAAGGGAGAAGATCTTGCAGGGATTAGTCAGAATAACGTAAAGAGCAGTCGGTGCACTAATCTTTCGCTATACGTGGGATCCAGGAAAGGGCCAGACCATGATGGTCTATTGTATGCAGCCTTACCCTATATTTCTGCAAGAGACTATTCCACAGCTCGAACCCATAAATTCCTGGTCACATGGCAACAATTTTACTAGTTATGCTAATACTCTCCTTCTTAGTCAGAACAAAGTACATTAGAATAAGAGATCAACATGCAGACGTATTGACTAAAGTACTTAGCAAAGTTCAGCATAAATATTTGAGTTCCAAGCTAAGTGTGTGTGATGTTTTTATGCCACTTGAGGGGAGTGTTGAAAAGTAAGGAGTGACTTAGAATGAATGGTCGAGGGTAATATGGTCTTTTTACAACTGGTTAGTTAAGAGATTATAAAAGTCAGTTTATTAGACTAATCAGCAAGGATATGTACAGTTGTCAGTTGAAGAATATACAGAAATTTCTCATTTCCTCTTCACTTCTCTCTCCAATTGCATGCTCAAATTATGGTTTCCACTCTGAAATCACTGTTTCACCATTGAAGTACCATATACTCTATCCAAAATGACCAAACATCAATTTCTTTTTTCTGTCGTATTCCTAGCTCTTTTCCAAATCCCAATTGCTAGTGCCATAGCCATTTACTGGGGCCAAAACGGAAACGAAGCAACCTTAAACGAAACCTGCGCCTCGGGCAGATATTCCTATGTCAACTTAGCCTTCCTTAACAAATTCGGAAATGGCCAAACTCCAGAAATCAATCTCGCCGGTCACTGCAACCCCGCCGTTAACGGCTGTTCCGCCGTCGGTCCAGAACTCAAGCTTTGCCAAAATCTAGGCGTCAAAGTAATGTTATCCATTGGTGGTGGAGCTGGAAATTACTCTTTAGCTTCAAGAGAAGACGCCAAAATTTTTGCACGTTATTTATGGAACACATTTTTGGGTGGAAATTCAAATTCCTCTTTTAGGCCTTTAGGTAGTGCTGTTCTAGACGGAATTGATTTTGATATTGAGCTTGGATCGTCTCTTTACTATGACGATCTAGCTAAATACTTGAAAGATTATGGTAGAATTGGAAAAAAAGTGTACTTAACAGCAGCTCCACAATGTCCATTTCCCGATAGTTTGCTTGGTACTGCTTTAAATACAGGTCTTTTTGACAATGTTTGGGTTCAATTTTACAATAATCCTCCGTGTCAGTATACTCCTAATAATACTGATAATATTGAAAATTCTTGGATCCGGTGGACCTCGTCGGTGAACGCTACAAGGATATTTTTGGGTCTTCCGGCGGCACCACAGGCTGCCGGAAGTGGGTTTATTCCGGCGGATGTGTTGATCGGCGAAATTCTTCCGGTGATCAAGAAGTCGAGCAAGTATGGTGGTGTTATGTTGTGGTCAAGATTTTGGGATGAGCAGAGTGGATATAGTGCCTCCATTCGGGAAGGTATGTGATAATTGTTTGTGGGAAATCTATAAATAATTAAAGCCAAAAGACTATGATTAGCATGTGTTGATGAATATTATTTGGATTTTTCGACCTTGCTGAAATGTGGATGTCTTTTTTCATGTACAGTCACAATTCTCTATAACAATCGCGTTTGTTTTGATATTGTTTGGATGCTATAGTGAACTGCTATTATAGAGGACATATAATATAACATAACATAAAAGATCGGTTTCGAGAAAACTTGGCTTGTATTATAAATGGTTATTATACAGGTCTAACTTGGCTTGTATTATAAATGCTGTTATAGAAAGGTCTAACTTTATGGAGTACTATAAATTAGTCTACAGAAAACAATGTTCCAGTGGACATAATGGTTATTTTCCTTCTTCTTTTTGGTAAGTTTGTTCTTTTAATTTTCACACGATCCTTGAAAAAAAAGTGAAAGCAAAATGGAGTCCAGGATTTGAGATGGAAATCTGGAAATAATAGTACTGGAAACATATCCCTACCAGTTGCCATTTATGCCTAAGGAAAGTTCGAAAGAATTCCTTGCACTTATACTTGTATGTCTAGCAAGTTATTAGCGCCAGTAGTTTGTGTTCTAACTAGAAATTGTGCAATGTGTTTTCCTAGATTCGGAGCCAATAAGAAATGGGAGCGCTAGAAATGTACCAAGCACAAGCTCAATTCCTCCGGCTTTATCACCAGCACCATCTCCCAATTTAACGCCAAGATCATCTGATTCGTCTCAAAGAACTTGTACGTATAGTATACAAATCTTGTTTTTGCATTTTGCTAACTGAATAGTAGCTCCTGAATTAGTAGATTAATCTCACTTTTTAAACTGCATTTCTACTAGCTTCTGTTAGTTTTTCCTTTGAGATTGCTCTATCGAGGTTTCATAGCTAGTCGTCTTTTTAGTTTTTAATCTGAACTAAGGTCATGAAAAGGAGGTAGTAGATTCCACTACTTTTATGTTTTCTTTTTCTCTTTTTGAGGTATGAGAAAAGAGGGGTTAATCACCATTTGTATGAATCCTATTTACTCGATAAAATTTTCTAGTGAAGTATTGTTTATGATTGAAGGTGAAAACTTTTTTTTTGATTGTTCGTCGATGTGGTCCATTTAACAGATTATCATAATTTTAGGCATGTATTAGTCTTTTAGTAAATCTAGTCCTTGTATCGAGTATATCCAGAAAAAGGTCCTTTAGACCATCTGTTTAAAACTGTAGAATGTAAAATGCATCTCACAGTTCCAAAATTTAAGTATGCAGGATATATATATATATATATATATATATATATATATATATATATATATATATACACACACACACACACACACACATATATATGTCAAAAAATATGCTTTATATTTTGACTCATTTTGTTGATGCAGCAATTAAATGGTGGATATGGCTTATAGTTGCAATTGGTTTGATAATATTCGTCGGAATTAGCTCCCTATGCTACCTTCTGCACAGGAAAGGTGAGCACCTGAAGAATTTAGCTATAAAGCTTGACACAACAATAAACTTTAATATCTCACAACCTTCTCTTTCACTATCAGGGAAAGCAAAAGCAACAGCTTTGCTATTGCTTAATCAAACAACAAATAGAGCGAAAAGGAGAAAGATGGACAAGAAGATGAGTGAAGAAGTGCAATTATACAGCTTCGAGAGCCTGGCAATAGCCACAAACAATTTTTCACTAGGAAATAAGCTTGGTGAGGGTGGCTTTGGACCAGTTTACAAGGTAAAACATTGAATGAATATGATTCTTGTTAGAAATAAACTGAAACCAGCCGTTATATTCAGGGAAAGTTGCCTGATGGTCAAGAAGTAGCTATAAAAAGGCTTTCAACAAGTTCTGGACAGGGTCTGCTGGAGTTCAAGAATGAAATTCTATTGATTGCAAAACTTCAACACACTAAACTTGTTAGGCTTTTAGGCTACTGTACTCAAGGCGAAGAAAGGATTTTAGTATATGAATACATGCATAACAAAAGCCTAGACTTCTTCCTTTTTGGTAAATATCATACTTTTCTCCTTCAACAATTAGAATATATACTTGCAAGCAACTTGCAACTGCTTCTTTTTTATCCTCTATAATGATATGAACAGATACTAACAAAAAGGAGCAAATAAATTGGGGCACTCGATTCAGAATCATTGAAGGGGTTGCTCAAGGTCTACTCTATCTGCATAAATATTCAAGGTTGACAGTTGTTCATAGAGATTTAAAAGCAAGCAACATATTACTTGACAGTGACATGAATCCAAAGATATCGGACTTTGGCATGGCGAGGATTTTTGGACAGCAAGAATCTGAAGCAAATACGAAAAGAATTGTTGGAACACAGTAAGTGAAAAACCATAGTTTCAACCAAATTGAACTTATAGTCATATACAAGTTTATATTTACTCAAAAGTCTAAATACACTTTCAAACACAACTTCAGTGGCTATATGTCTCCAGAGTATGCCTTAAGAGGCATTGTTTCAACAAAGACAGATGTATTCAGCTTCGGAGTTTTACTCTTAGAAATTGTTAGTGGGAAGAAAAACAACAGCTGCTATGATTCTGAGCACCCACTAAACCTCATAGGACTGGTATGTCTCTAGACTTATTTATGAACTTATCTCATGAAACAGAGAAACATAATACCATGCATTTCTATGTTTCAGGCATGGGAATTATGGAGAGAAGAGAGAGCTTTGGAGCTAATAGATGCAACACTAATTGAGTCATGCTCGCGCGACGAAGTACTGAGATGCATTCATGTGGGACTCTTGTGTGTGCAAGACTATGCAAAAGATAGGCCTTCAATGTCCAGTGTGGTTTCCATGCTTACTAACGAGTCGAGGCAACCACCACCACCACCAGAGCGACCCGGATTTTTCATTGAAAGGGGGGATCAACAATCACGGAGGTCTGAAGAAGCAGAAAGATATTCGATAAATGGACTATCGATTTCAGAGTTGAAAGCAAGATAAGTCTACCAATGCAGTACTCAAGGTCAAAAGTTAAAAGTGTTTTCCACCGGGTGAGTGAGGGACAACACTTGTTAAACTTGAATTTCTGCCAACGAGGCAAATGGAGACAAAAGTTCAAGACCATCCTTTGAGGGCCATTTGTGTACTTCACCCTTCCATTAGAGCTTGTCCTAATACATATTTCGTGGTTTTTTTTTTTCACTTTCAGTCCGCGCTAGAAACTATTTACATTTAGTAGTCGAAAAAGTGTATACAATTTATATAATTTTTGTATATAACAGAATGTATATATATACAAAATGAGCCCTTTTTTTTGCTATTATTTTAGAGCGGCTATATAATGTCATTTTTCCTATTTCGTGATACTTCGACGAAGCCCAAGTATAGAGTGAAAGGGAGAAATTTGAATTTTTGTTTTCAGGTAAGGATGCACAAAGTGATTTTCCTTTTAAGTTTTTACATATGAGTGTAAGTCTTTTTAAATTTGGCTCTTATACCATATGAGACATCTGCCTATTCACTCCAAAATCTTTAGGCAAGCGATGGAGTAGACCAAGACTATTTAAACATTTTTTGAAACTCTTGCACAAACGATGAAGGAGAATTGTTTGCATTTTCTATCATGTGCCAACATGTACTAGATGGTGTTTATGTTAGGTGTTTGTCCTGATTTTCTTATCATATTTGATTTTTCTATCTCTTGAAGGAAAGGACAACATATTTACCATAATTTGGTTTTCCTTTTTGTAGAAGCAAATTACAAATCTCCCATATTTGGCTAGTCTTTTTTCTTGTAGGAAAATGTTGGGACTTCTATAAATTGAGGATCCTTCCTTCTCATTCAGTAGAATCAACAATGTAGCCATATGAGATTTGAGTCATGTTTAGGGGGAGAACTTTACATGACAAGTGTTAGTGTGTCACTTGTGTTTGCCTCTTCGTGAGTTTGTTCTCTCGATATTTTGTACTCTCTTTTATATAGTGGATTACTCATCTCCGCAGTGGACGTAGGTCAATTGGCCGAACCACGTTAAATGTTTGTACCTTTTTTGGTATATTTCTCTTTTATTGTCTGATTTATCGTCGTTCAAGTGTTGTATTACTAGTTTCTACATGACACCTGATTTTTTCGGTCCTAACAAGTGGTATCAGAGCGAGGTTCAAGATAGGTTCATCTTGGCGGGTTTAGTTCTAGCCGCAACCTATTTGACGGTAATCATGATTTTTGCCTGAGAAATTTGACCGCAGTGCTACTCACGTCGAGACAAACTTTATGGTGGAGATTTGGAGATGCGACTTATTGAAGACTATGTAAAGAAGGTGGATCAAATTTATTATTGTCAAAAAATTCAGGCCAAGGGGCAGAATTGTTAGGTGTTTGTCCTACTTTTCTTACCTATTTGGTTTTCCTATCTCTTGAAGGAAATGATAACATATTTACCATAATTGGGTTTTCCTTTTTGTAGAAGCAAATTATAAATCTCCCATATTTGGCTAGTCCTTTTTCTCGTCGAAAAATATTTTGACTTCTATAAATTGAGGATTCTTCCTTCTCATTCAGGAGCATCCATAATGTAGCCATATGGGGTTTGAGAGTCGTGTTTAGGGGGAGAACTTTAGGGGACAAGTGTGATTGTGTCATTTGTGTTTGTCACTTCCTAAGGTTGTTCTCTCGATATTTTGTAATCTCTTTTATTATAGTGGATTGCTCATCTCCGCCGTGGACGTAAGTCAGTTGACTGATCCATGTTAAGTATTTGTGTCTCTTTTGGTATATTTCTCTTTTGTTGTATGAATTATCGTTGTTCGAGGTTTGCTTACTAGTTTCCGCATGACACCTTATTTTTTCGGACCTAACAAGTGGTATCAGAGCGAGGTTCAAGACAGGTTCATCTTGACAGGTTTAGTTCTAGCCACAACCTATTTGATGATAATCATGATTTTTGTCTGAAAATTTTGACCGGAGTGCTACTCACGTTGAGACAAACTTTGCGGTGGAGAGTTGGAGATGCGACCTGTTGAAGGCTATGTGGAGAAGGTTGATCAAATTTATTTGTTAGAAAATTCAGGCCAAGGGGGGGAATTGTTAGGTGTTTGTCCTGATTTTCTTACCATATTTGATTTTCCTATCTCTTGAAGGAAATGACAACATATTTACCATAATTTGATTTTCCTTTTTGTAGAAGAAAATTATAAATCTCCCATATTTGGCTAGTTCTTTTTCTTGTAGGAAAAAATGTTTGGACTTCTATAAATTGGGGATCCTCCTTCTCATTGACAATGTAGCCATATGGCGTTTGAGAATCGTGTTTAGGGGGAGAACTTTAAGGGACAAGTGTTAGTGTGTCACTTGGTTTTTACCTCTTCGTGAGGTTGTTCTCTCGATATTTTGTACTCTCTTTTATTATAGTGGATTGCTCATCTCCGCCGTGGACGTAGGTCAGTTGACCAAACCACGTTAAATGTTTGTACCTTTTTTGGTATATTTCTCTTTTATTGTATGATTTATCGTCGTTCAAGTGTTGTTTTACTAGCTTCTACATGACACCTGAATTTTTCGGTCCTAACAAGTGGTATCAGAGCGAGGTTCAAGACAGACTCATCTTGGCGGGTTTAGTTCTAGCCGCAACCTATTTGACGGTAATCATGATTTTTGTCTGAGAAATTTGACTGCAGTGCTACTCACGTTGAGACAAACTTTATGGTGGAGATTTGGAGGTGCGACTTATTGAAGACTATGTAAAGAAGGTGGATCAAATTTATTTTTGTCAAAAAATTCAGGCCAAGGGGCAGAATTGTTAGGTGTTTGTCCTAATTTTCTTACCATATTTGGTTTTCATATCTCTTGAAGGAAAGGACAACATATTTACCATAATTAGGTCCTTTTTGTAGAAGTAAATTATAAATCTCCCATATTTGGCTAGTCCTTTTTCTCGTCGGAAAATATTTTGACTTCTATAAATTGAGGATCCTTCTTTCTCATTCAGGAGCATCCACAATGTTGCCATATGGGGTTTGAGAGTCGTGTTTAGGGGGAGAACTTTAGGGGACAAGTGTTATTGTGTCATTTGTGTTTGCCTCTTCCTGAGGTTGTTCTCTCGATATTTTGTACTCTCTTTTATTATAGTGGATTGCTCATCTCCGCCGTGGAAGTAAGTAAGTTGACCGAACTACGTTAAATATTTGTGTCTCTTTTGGTATATTTCTCTTTTGTTGTATGATTTATCGTTGTTCAAGATTTGCTTACTAGTTTCCACATGACACCTGATTTTTTTGGACCTAACAAGTGGTATCAGAGCGAGGTTCAAGACAGGTTTATCTTGGCGGATTAGTTATAGCCGCAATTGATTTGACAATAATCATGATTTTTGTCTGAAAAATTTGACCGGAGTGCTACTCACGTTGAGACAAACTTTGCGGCGGAGATTTAGAGATGCAACCTATTGAAGGCTATGTGGAGAAGGTTGATCAAAATTATTTTGTTAGAAAATTCAGGCCAAGGGGGAGAATTGTTAAGTGTTTGTCCTGATTTTCTTACCATATTTGATTTTCCTATCTTTGAAGGAAAGGACAATATATTTACCATAATTTGGTTTTTCTTTTTGTAGAAGAAAATTATAAATCTTCCATATTTGGCTAGTCTTTTTTCTTGTAGGAAAAGGTTTGGACTTCTATAAATTGAGGATCCTTCCTTTTCATTCAATAGCATCCACAATGTAGCCATATGGGGTTTGTATCATATTTAGGGGGAGAACTTTACGGGACAAGTTGACGAGCGCAAAACACAATTAATTTATGCTTGGTAATCAAAGATAGTATAGTATAATACCGTATCCACAGGGATTTGATTTAAATAGTATTCTCGTAGTTTCTAGCTTGATTGCTATCCAGGAGGATCAGCAGTTGAGATTTATATGATTAATAATTAAAATAACTAAGAATCTAAAGCTATTGACTAGTGACTATCGAGACAAGGAATAACCAAATAAGGTTATCAGTGGGAGAAGATAGGATTTTGACAGGATATGTGCAAGATAATTGTTCGGGATCTAACTCTAGATAACTCACTTCTAATGTTCAAGTGATTCTCGAATTCACTTAATTATTAGTTCAAACGTTCAGCAGAAACTCCTCTCTCGATTATGTCTTAACCTCACGAAATGAACCAACTTAAGTAAGCACTGTGAAGATATGCTAGAATGCGTAGTGGATTGGTCTTTAAGAAAACTTCTTTCGATTATTCTCCTAACTTGGTTAAATCAATGATTCAACTAGCCTCTTTCGATTACTTAGAAGAATCTATGGACTCAACCAACAATATGATGCAGAGATATCACAAGTTATGCCTCTCTCGATTACATGAACTATTGAATATATATGTAACAATTAAATCTTCCAAATCGATTTAATACATAAAACTAGAGTTATAATCCACAAACAATCATCAATACACCAAATCCATCAAACCCTAAAGGGGACTACTCCATAGGCATGGAGAAATTTATACAAATATAATTGAAGTATAGGAAAACATTGATTCTGTCAAAACTCGGGTCTTGAGTGAGGAAGGAATGATGAAATCCTTGTGGCTGTGTTCTTCCAACTCCTCCTTTGCTTCCTTAGGTCGAAAATATGTGAAAAGTCCAGAAAATAATATTTTTCCATGTATTTATGCCAAGTAGGGTCGGTCCCGGACGAAACCACCCTTTCCTAGCCGAATAGCTCTAGGAAAAAATGCACAGGCGCGCTGCATGGGGCGACGCACCACGCAGGGTGCTAGTGTAGTTTATCAGAGACCAAGAAAAGTTGTCAGGCAGCAGAAATGTACTACCACGGCGCTCCACGCGCTGCCCCACGCGCCGTGGTAGTGCAATTTCTTCAGAGCACGGCTTAAATCTTTATTTTTATGTCCAGACTTGGTCCTCGACCCCCGAACATGATCTCGGCTATCACGACCCAATTCTATTATAGGCCGCGATGACGCCCAGCACCGTTGCAAGGCAACCCGACAGTGAACAATCTTGTGATTTCCCCTTTTAATAGATTTTTCAAGTAAATAACTTTCCTTAATTTAAAAGATTTAAGAAATAACAGATTTAAAATAAATAACACGAAAGCAACTGAGAGCAATCGTGACCATAGAATAAAACCAAAACCACAAGTCTACTAGCGTATGCCAAGATCTGGTATCACAAGTGTATGAGCATTCTAGTAGAATATACAAAAGAATACTAGTCTACTGTCAGAAGTGAAATAAACAGAAAGAAATATAAGCAAAAGAATGACTCCGGCTGCTGCAGAACGGCTCGGAAGGCAGCTCACCGTGAAGCCTCGAAGTGGTAATCAAATGTGTGCGTCATACTGATATCCAGATGCACCTAACTCAGATCCTGCACATTAAGTACAGAAGTGTAGCGTGAGTATATAAATAACTTGTACCCAATAAATATCTAGTCTCACGTGGCCGAAAGTTACTACAAATAATGGACCCTGAAATTCATACATTGATTGTCCACTAGTAGTCGCAAGTAGGCTAAATACAGTTTGCTTTGTCATTAATTTTCAAAGTCCGATTCCTGTGTAAGCTATCTTATATTTTCTGTACAATATGTGACATGTTTCACTAAGATCCCTTGAAAATTAGTGTTTCTTTCTCTTTTGCCCTTCTCTCAGTTTTTGAAAACGAAAAACAAATCGTAAAAGAATATATAGCATCTCGAACTATTTGAGGAAACCTTTTACTGATAGTATATCATTGACGAGGATTTTGGGGATTCTTGAAGTAACAAAGTGATGGGCTGAATTGGTAGGTAACCGATCTTATTTTCAAAACTACAAATTTCATATTTTGATGAGCCTTACTTGTAATATTACCTGATAGTGTAAAAAGTTTTTTATAGTGAAAATGTAAGCTTAAACGCTAATAATATTGCTCGTCCAATCGAGAAATTTAAGGAGAGAAGAATAAGTAGCAAATGCAGGTCACTGGCTCTTTCGATGTCAACAATACAGTAAACTAGGATAGTGCTTTGCTTAATCTCCAAAAAAGTATTAATTCTTGGAAATAACGTGCACATATAATTAATTAGGAATATATCATATAGCTTACTCTTGAGTTACTCGTGTCCATCTTATTACATATAAGATGACACCCTTATTCAAAATTTTACTATTCAAAAACCATACACAAACCAAACAAACAACCTAGGCCATGGACCAAGTGATGGGAACTCTTCCCTTGTCTGTATCTAAACCCAAAGCTCTCCACACAGCAATGGAACCATCAACCATCATTAATGGTGTCACATTCATCCACAACTTTAGCCGTTACACTCTTCCCATTATTTGCCCTAATATGTATCATTTTGAACCTTTAGCATACCATCTAGTGGACAACGCCACTACTCTTTCACTACTATCATGATATTTCTCATCACATTCTGATGGACCGCCACCATCTCCGCCTTTACTGAAATGGTTAAGGGTAAGTTGGGCAGGCGTTGAGTCTGTAGGTGGCGAAGGAACGGAACCTTTGCAAAATATTGGTTCCAACATCAGGGTCATCGTTACATTTTCCCCTTATGCAAATTAATTGGCCGTCACAATCGTTCAAGGATTTACACGGGCCGTTGCATGAGGAGGAAATTAATGGCCGTTCCTCGTGAAGAAGAAGAGATGAAAATTGCGAAAATGCAAAGAGAGGGGAAGACAAGCTAAGCTTGGCCATGGTGGCTATATTTGTAAAAACATGAAGGTTAATGAATATTAGTACGAAATATTGATGAGTGAAGAAGACTATATGCAAGTAGGCAGGTATATATAGGCAGGAAATTGAATTGAATGAGAAGAACATTTACTTGACTTTTCTTCAGTCGTGATTTTCGGCTAATATTTTACAATTTTCATTACGATACGTCGATACCTTACCAAAACATTAGGCATTGCTGTTAAATGAAAGACGTGTGTTCCGATCCCGGTCTAGCAAAGTGAACCTCGCTTTGCTGTCCGGAACTTCTTTTTTTTAGTTCATGATCATTAATTATTCTCCTATTTGATACTTTTCAGTAAGTTCGTTCATACACATAAGAAATACATAACGAGCATATTTCACTTCAAAAACCATGCTATCTTCTACAAGTCACATAGAAAATGATATGCAAACGTATTTAAAATATACATTTCTCATCATTCATCAACGTGTGCATGCATGCACGACTTCTTGATGTGTGATAAAGCTGACTTGTCCTATACCGCCAGTGGCGGACAAACAAATTTGATATTTTTAATTTAGCTGAAATTCAAAAATCTGCTCAAAACGAGGAAATAATTGAGATAAATATTATCTGCAATACTTGGCAGAATCTGATTTTTCTATTGCTGTTTGTTAGGATATTGCTGGTAGAAATAATATGGCTCGTATGGCTGTATTTCTTTAGAGATTTTTTTGTTTGTTACAACCTCATATACAAATATGCATGGTTGCTGCTCTTCCTTAATTCATTGATACAATAAATGGACATCTTCCTTTACCCCAACTTCTTTCCCCAAAAAAAGGAAAAGGTCATGTGGACAAATCTTGAGAAATGTCTCTTGAATTAAGTAATTTATATTGTCTATATAAATCGTTAGTCAACGAGAATTTCTTTCCTTTATATTTGTGAAGAAAATTAAGAATTTTTTCAAGTAGCTAGCACAAAATAGTCTCAGATTTTCCAAATTCCAAGAACGGTATAAGAGCTTAGAAAACGATGATACAACTGCATAGGTTGTATTTATTAGTCATTTCTTTGACAATCCATTTGCCTTTCTCTAACTATCAACTTTCATAGTTAGCTTTGAAAACCTGTTAATTGTACTTGGAATTTAGATTTGACTGTCTCATAACATCCAAAATATGATACCTACAAAATTTGGATCTAATTTGATACACTCACCAAGCACAATTGGGTTTAAATCTTTAATTCATGATTGTGTGGTAGTTTTTCCATGTCTCAGATTTATATCTTGAATCTCTAGTTCATCTGATAATAACATATTATGAGTCCAAATTCATGAACATATATATTGAAAGAATCATAATTCTTAAAAGGTATTTATGTTCTTTGCACTAACATTATATAATTTTTTACACCACCAAGTTTTAACCTACAATATAACATGCAAATCCTTTCTCCTGATACTGTCTGCAAATCTATTGAAGCTTTTTATGTTAAGCAGATCCTCCTATTTAATACAATCCTCTAACAAGAAATACTTTATTAAAATTAGGCTCATGCTTCCCAATTTTTGAAGAAAAAAAAGACCGTTGCACGAATCATCCCGCATTCACGCAAGGTCCGGGGAAGAGCCGCACTCCAAGGGGGTGTGATGTAGGCAGCCTACCCTGAGTGGCTTATTCCACTGCTCAAACCCGTGACCTACAGGTCAACAGAGACAACTTTACCGTTGCTCCAAAGCTTCCCAATTTTAGGAAATAAAAAAGGAGAGAACCTAAACTTGAATAAGAAAGAGTACCATATTACAGTCACCAGTTTCTCCAACCTCTACACACCAAAAAAGGGACTAAAGGCTGCAAAAACTTATGGTGAGCATCTCATATTACAGTCACTGAATTTGAAACCACCATGTAACAAATTCGGCTTAAAGATCATCTTTCTTTGCAGAAAGACCAAGAAGTTTAGCTAGCTCCCCGTTTTCATAGGCCTCCACGGTATCTGTGCACAGATATTAACGTCATAAGCACAGGATTTTGATTATCCATAGGCACCAAAGCAAAGATATGATTTCACTAGCTTACCATCTGATCCTCCGATATGCTTTCCGTTAATGAAAACTTGTGGCACAGTACGTCTGCCAACGATCTCACTAAGGGCATCCTGAATACTCCAGCCATCATCTGACAAGAGGAAAAGCAGAATATTTTTTAAAATTTCTGATCAAAGACATGATCCGATGGCCTAAAACCATCTGTTTCACCTTTTACATTGAGTTCAAATAGTTACTCCCACTCATGTTATCCCTTGGTCCAAACAAAGGGAAAGATCTATCTCAAAATTTGCAGCTAACACCCACAAGGGCCTTCGACAAATTGGAAAGATATAAGAAACAGGGAAGTGAATAATCTCGGACAATAAAATCATACCAAAACTTCAAGGCCTCAGGTTGCTTGGTGTAAATACTAAGCGAAGTGTAGTTTCTTGAGTGAAGATGTACAGAGTTAAAAGCTAGCGCACGGCGGCGGAAGCTCCACCAATTTAAAGCAAACAAAAGAAAAAGAAGAGTAAAATAACATGGACATAAGAGATGTATGAAAGTGTTTTTTTTTTTTTAATTGATAACTCCAATTGACTGAAAATGTTTCTATCCCACGTAAAGAAATAGTAGAAAAATGTGATTGGTTGATGACAAGCTGAATGAGATGTAAGCTGATGTATCTTACAATTCTTATTAGCAACTGAAATCCATTGTAAACAGTTGAGAAAACTTAGAAGGTTGGTAGCTATAATCCTGTCAAACAACATGTAAGGATTGAGAAAGGAAATTTGGCGGTGAGATTGGGGGCAATGAAAGTGATACCTCTCTCATCAAGCTCAACAACATAAGGTTTTTGCTTCAACTCTTTAAATACAGCCTTTGCTTTCCTACAGTATCTGCAGAGCAATAGAAAATTGATGCAAACTGTTAATGTAACATACAATAAACAGAAATAAATAGTGTTGCATGTCGTGACATTGTACATACTTTAAAGAAGTTGAATATGTAGAAAATAGGTCTCAAATAGGAAAACGGGAAAGGGTCAGATTTAACCCTCTACTTTCAAATATTGTCTACATTTAACCTCCGTTATACTTTCAGGACATATACCCCTACCGTTAGCAAAGTATTCAAATCTACCCTTATTTTTTAGCGGAGATCCAATATGGCCTAGACCTAGCTATTAAAATGCCACAGTGCCACGTGTGTATTAACATTTTCTTATTTTTTGAAGAAATAGAAAAACCCCCCACAACATTGTTTAAATGCGGTCGTACCAAATCCTACCCAACTTCATCTCTGTCCCTCCCTCTAGGTGCATGACTTTGCAATATAAATAATAATAGAACCACAAAAATAATGAAACCATAAAAGCCAGAGCAATTCAAAACTCAAATACTATGTTCTTAGCATACCCTTTTCTTCAAATACTTGAGCACACGCACTCCAATTCAATTTCAACCGTGTGATGTATGACCAATATATTTCATCTCTTTGCTTGCACGTGACCCTTTAGGGAAAATGATAGCTCCTTCGGCTCTTCAATTAGACATCATATGAGGGCAAGCTAAACTAAATTTCTGTTTATAATTTGATGTAATGTACTATTCAATTATCAATTGACGCGCACCAAAGCTAGCAAGTCCAAACAACTTTAGTACAAAGGAGACAGCATATTTAGTTTCTCTACTTTTGATTTCCACAGCTTAAGATTCAATTATAACCTAGCAGAATAATCAAAAGACACATATTTATTACAATTGATAAGTCAAAGACAGCTAAATAGAAAAAAAGTCTGATGTTAAAGTGAATCAAGAAAAGAGCTAAATCACCTTAACAGAAGAACACATTTTACATATATCCATCCAATAATTAACTCGACTACGCAAACCAAAATCATACATTGTGCTCTCACCACTAGATCAAAGCCCGGGGCCGATTTTTCATTTTTTTTTTTTTTTGGTATAATGTAACTTACATTTATTTATTCTAAAAAATGTTACAAATTCATCAAAGACACAAACTTTATGCTCGCTTTTGGAAGAGTAGCTCTAACCTAAAAGGGTCTTCCAATTTGCAATTTATCATATCAATTTGAGAAAGATCAATCAGAAACAACAATCAAAGACCATAAAAATGCAACAACACACAGAAAGCATAATCAAATAAGCGGGAAAAAAAACCCACCAAAAAGGGCAGGAAAAAGGAGATTTAAAGGGAGAGAAAACTAACGGGCAATAGGATTTGGAGAAGATAACAATGGAATGAGAAGAAATTGTTTTCTTGACAAAGGCAGAGGCATCTCCTTCTCCAGCTTCAGCAAATGTTGATGTGTACAACAACACAGTCACTGATACTACTAATAACCACAACACAGTTGATTTCGCCATTTTTTTAGCTCTGTGAAAGAATTGAGTACTAATACTGTTTGCTTCTTTGGTCTTTCAAGATCTCATCGGGATTCAATATATGAGAAGGAAAAGGCATATATTCATATGATAATTGGGCTTTAGGCCTTATTTTTGGTTTTTGGTCCGATGAAATTAGCTCTTACATTGATGGAGGGAGAAATTCAAAAATAGCCACATTTACCACCGGTCGTTGAAAAATAGCCAAGTTTCAAAAGTCATCGAAATCTAGCCACTTTAAATCTGAGCGAAAACATTGTTCAAAATCCGGAAAAATACGCCCGCAAATTTTACGGGAGTTCCAGCATAAGTATGCTTGAACTCCCGTAAATTTTACGGGAGTTCCAGGATAACTATGCTGGAACTCCCGCAAATTTTACGGGAGTTCCAGCAAGTATAATTGTCCAGTATAATATACTGGAGTTTGGAGCACTGGTGCTCCAGTCTCCCGCAAATTTTACAGGAGTTAGCAAAGTATATCGGTCCAGCATAATATGCTGGAGTTCGTACACAAATGCACCAGAACTCCCGTATATTATACTGGACCGGTCCCTGTTGCAGCAAAATAGTGGCTATTTTTCATTGACGGGAGTTCAAGCATACTTATGCTGGAACTCCCGTAAAATTTGCGGGCGTATTTTTCCGGATTTTGAACAGTGTTTTCGCTCAGATTTAAAGTGGCTAAATTTCGATAACTTTTGAAACTTGGCTATTTTTCAACGACCAGTGGTAAATCTGGCTATTTTTGAATTTCTATCTATATTGTCCTCTCACCGGTTGGCAGACCGCTGCGTGCGGGGTGGGGGTGTTGAGTCTCCCAAGGGATGGGGGACTTGGTTACCTTATATGGCTTGGACAATTCATGAACTAACTTTTAGGGTTGAATTAGGCCCAATATCTATATCTTTTTATCACTCTCATCTCTCCTGGAACTTATAAATGAGGTGTTTGTTCTAATCAACCTTTTCGTTAAGCATTTTAAGTATGCAAAGGAAAGACTATTAAGCCATAAGACCATTGAACATTTCTTGGAAATCATGCATCCTTGCCATACTTTTGTCTACTATCACATTGGCGCTTGTGCATTATTATCTAAACAACAATCTTAGTACATAATATTGGAGATAATAAGTTTTAAAAAAGAAAAAGTAAAACGTGAATGGGAAAAGGGTTGCTAATGAAATCATGTAGAAACATTTGCTGGTACACATGAATCAACAAGATAATTGCAACCACTTTCTTCAGTCCTTAAAATGTTAATAAGTATTCTGACAAAACGATTTTAGACTAGAACAAAATTAACTACAATCTGTTAGCAATGAGTCTTTACTCTCTAGTTTGAACTTGTATGAACTCCAGATTTGTTACTTACAAAAATATTCGGAATCTTTCTTTCAAATGTATGTATCTTTTTTCACATGTATGATCCTTCTTGTATAGTATCTTGCTATCTAATATGTGAGCTTCAATGCATTCTACGCGTTCATAGAGAAGCACTGGTTACCGGACTCTGTTGAAGCAGAGGCAACAAATACTGTTGGCAAAACTCTTGCTTTACGTTTCCTCGGATATGGATAGATGGCAGCAAGCTCCCGAACGTGGTTTAATACATGCTGAGGAATTGAGGACCAACCATGCTTCTCCTTTGCCGCGACCTGCAAATGTTGTAGTTTTTTAACAAAAAAAGACACTAAAAAAGGAAATTTAGAGTAGCAAATGACTTAAATATACCAATCCACAACTAGATTTTTGCCATAAATTCTTTTCTATTTGTTAAAGGGTGTGGAAGTTGGGAATTAAGGTAGAAGGTATTAGTTAGGCGGGAGTGTCCCATTTTCATGTCGGTAGCATTAGTTTTAATCTTTTATTTTCATACCTTCGTATCCGTAGGTTTCTTTTACCTTATGATTGATTCTTTCGCTACGATTATTCTAATCACCCTCCCTATCACCTTATCTTGTTGATGTTACTACGTGTTGTGTCTGCTTCTTTTATTTTTTATCTTGAGCCGAGGGTCTATTGGAAACAACCTCTCTATCTTCACAAGGTAGGGGTAAGGTCTGCGTACACTCTACCCCAGACCCTACTTTGTGGAATTACACTGGGTTTTTTTGTTTTTTTTTTTTTTTTTTGTTAAAGGGAGCAGTAGCTGCAATACTATGACACACTCGTAAGGAAAAGGATGTGGCTTTGCAACATGATATTCATATTAATTATGTGCAAAGAATCATAAAAGTGAATGTTTGAATCAAAATTGAAATGAAAGGGGACAGATTAGAGGGTTTCAATTGATAGGAGGAGGAATACCATACCCCTCTCCGGCTATTCAACCGTTGGCGGCTAGCCCTCAAAAGATTCCGCCATTTGTCCTGACAGAAGCAAGGGACTAAAATCATACCAAAAATATATGGAAAGCAGAAAAGTACTATATGATAGTACTAACAGACAGTTACTACCTTCAGATGAGGTGGACTACGATGCGCAGACAGTTACTACCATCTGCCCACACCATACTGAGATACACCCTCCACCAGCTTTAGGACCTCAGGTGTTGACCAATAGTTATGTTTTCTGTTTTGGTTAGTGCCTCGGGTCTCAGTCCCTATAGTCCAATCATCTTCAGATGTAGTATTATCATTGGACTGGTCAGAAATCGTGCCAGAAGAATCATCTTGTGCCTCAGCTGCTGTAGAAGATAAGCATTTGAAGGAATTCCATTGGATATGTTCTCTCCTTTTCACATGTTGAACCCTTGGCTTTTTTCGGAAATTGAATACACTTGCAAAGGCAGTAGATGCTTTAAGGAGCTCTTCACGACTTGCTGATGAGACTTTAACCCCTTCATTTTCCCTCGAATCTAGAGAGCAATTCATGCCCTGGTTTTGCGAACCAAATGTTATGTGGTGCTTCATCCATTCCTCATCCGTGACAGAAGTTTGATGTCCAAACATCTTACTGAAAACCTCGAGTAGTTTATCAGTTGACATGTCATCAAATCCCAGACAATTGTGATTGTCTAATCGTAGAGCATCATAATCAGATGAGTTACTTGGATCAGAAAACTTTAACACATCAGTGCCACAAATTTTTCCATTTGAATCAGCAAGCTGGTTTTCCAACTTCACATTTCCCATATAGGATATATTGACATCACTGAGGGTGGGAGTCTCTTCCTCAACTTCAATATCTGATAAATAGAGAAAAGCGGGACTATAATTAACTTAGTAGGTAAAAGATATTTAATTAGGAGAGAAACAAAGTAGGTAAAGGAAAGAGTAGACGTGCGTGATAACGGGAGATGCAACAACTGCTTACCCAAAAGGTAATCTTCACATGGAATGGAGCAATAATGTTCGTCATATCCGTTTGAAAATCCATCAAGAAGCTGAAAAATCAGGTATGTTCAACTAATCAATGACAATGAAAGAGCTATGGAACAACATAAAAAGAGAAAACAAATAGGACTTAACAAATATGCCTTGCTCACAAGGATACATACCTTCTCCCTCGTTACATCCACTTCGGTAAGAGTTGTGGGAAGTGCATCTAGGTGAAATATCAGAGACCAAAATATAGTATTAGATATGGAAAAACTAAGAAAGATAAACAGAAATCAGCAACCACTGTAAGTAGCTATTTACTCTGATCTGATTCACATAGCTCAAGTTCATAAGACTAATTACCATGATCAACAGACTCTAGAGCTGAAAAATCCTTAAAGTAGCTCTCTGGAACACTGAATGTACATGTCTTAAGATCTAGAAGAGTATCAGCTATATCATCATACTCAGGTTCTGCTAATAAATGTTCCACTCCTATGGCTTCCTCTTCTGATGCAAAATAATCAGAGGCGCTGCCTACGACCTATAAAAACATACAAATTTAAACAAAATAAAATTAAAAAAAAAAAAAAAGATTATTGATCAGAATGTGCAGCATATTCTTGAACAACTGAAAGTTTAGGTACCTGTTCTGGCTCCTGTCGAAAGATGCTTGCACTCGCATTCGGTATCTTTGAGCTGTATTGCAATGAATCTAGAGCACTCTGCATTTTACACTTTTGTCCAACTTTTCCTAACATTTTCTTGAGAATGACTACCAGAAACAGAACAAAATAAAACATTGCAGCCTTAGCATGGTATATTAGTAAAGGAAATGATGTGCATTTGCAGTGTTGCAAAAAGAACCAATAATATGTACATATGAAGTAATAACTAATCAGTTACAAGTAACAGTGTATTTTATCCATTTGGAAATACCAACTAAATAACATCCTTTAGGCATATACATATATACCTTGTATTCCAGAAATATGGAGCCAAAAATATTAATAATAACAATAACTGATGTAGCCATACTTCAAACATGAACTAGAAACTCCAAAGATTGCTAAAATGAGTACCATAAAGAAAGATAATAACATTTTATTAGAATTGTTCAGGTCCAAGATCAAGAAGCATAAGAAAATGCATAATCAACTAAATAAAATCATTTAATCCACAAGTTATGGAACAAAACTGTGACTAAAAAAGTTTCAGAGTCTCACAATATATACCTTTTAAAAAAATAGAGATTCGATACTAACAGGCCATACGAAGAACTAAAACATCAGCAACATGAACTTAAAATAAAACAAACTTGTTTTAAAACATCACATTTTCTCTTATGCAATCAATTTTGGGTATTATATAAAAAGCTACTAAAAGATTAACGTGGACAAGTAATGATTCAAGAATTATCAGAAAAATACATGCAAATGCAATAACTTAATAATTAATTGAGACACCCTGAAGACAAAAACCAGAAAAGAAAAGGGGAAAAGAACAAACCTTGCATAAACAAGAACAAAAGGCTCTGATCATACTATTTTTTCAAACATAAAGAACCATTCGTTGAGAGAAAAACCGAAAATAAAGAAAACCCAGAAAAGTTTTACACATTTAATGCATGTAGCAGAGTATCATATAAGAAAACGGCACGTGGAAAAGAAAAAAACCAAAAGGAATGAAGCTGCAGAGTGCAGATAGGCGATAGCTGTAGGTTGTAGCTGCCTCTGTATAGTGGGAGATTTTGTCTTTTGACAGAGAGAGTGGAGACGGAATTGAAGTTACATGCAGAAGCAAATTGGAATTATGGGGTTGGTGTAGGGGTGTTAGCGTACCTAAATAAATTCGGTATGGTTCGGTTTTTGTCCTTTCGGTTTCGGCTTATTCGGTTCGGTAACTTTGATTTATTCGGTTTGAATATTAACTTGTGCATAAAGCCATACACTCTAATATTCTTAATTAAAGTACTCAAAAATACAAAACTGAAAATGTTTGTTGACAAAAATTTTGTCCAAAACTAGCAAATATCGATCCAAATAGAGAAAATTATACATAAAAGAATATTTGATCATTAGAAATGTCTTGTTACTTGTTTAGAGTTAATTGATGAACTTTGAGAATAAAGGAAAGTAAAATTTTAGATTTTTTATATTTATGTTATAATTAATAATATGTGTTTTGTGTAATATAATATATATTTCGGTACGGTATCGGTATTTCGGTATTTTATCTTAAAATACCAAATACCATACCTAATACCAATTTGTTTTAAAACTTAAACCAAATACCAAAATACCGTATACCAAATACCAAAATTTTCGATTTCGGTATGGTAATTCGGTATTTACCAAATTATGCCCAGTCCTAGGTTGGTGTCCGGAAAAGGTGACACGTGGAGGAGTGGTGTGGCTATCTTATTGTACGTATAAAATGGTACAACCTTAAAAAATAATTTGGAAATATTCAGTTTTAATATCCAATTTTTGTCATCATTCTAATAACATAAATTTACAGTTTACCTATAATAATAATCCGAATATTCTCAATTTTGTATTAGATTCTACCTTCTTCATTTATATTCTAAATATATACTCACTCTCTCGATTTATGTGAAGGTATTTGGTTTTCGAGAATTAAATGAATTATTTTTTTACCGTAATTTTTTAAATGCTTTTTAAATATTTTGAATTATTAATTATTGCAACTTATAATATGTTTACATAGTTTCCTATTGAGCCAAGCAATGTCACTTAGTTAGTTGTACAATAGTTAGTTGTAATGACAGTTAGTTAGTTGTACTGATTGTAACTTAAGTTTACTATGATTAGTAGTAGAGTTAGTTAACCATAGTTAGTAGTAGAGTTAGTCTTGATTTTCATTCATATACATATACATGTACAAATACACGTGATACATAAGAAGAAATAGAATCTTTTGGAATATTCTCTCCCCATCTTCTTCCTCTGTTTTACCGACTTACTCAAACTCATCAGATCAGCTTCAATCAGCTAATCCATGGCTGAGCTTCATGGATAGCTGATTTTGACATGGTATCTGAGCCACACGGCCATTAGTGTGGTCTTATCGTTTTCAATTTCGTCCATTTTAGTCTTCTTCAAGTTAATTTGGAAGATCAACAATGCCGACTGTCGATAACACTGAACCAGAGAAGTTAGGTCACAATCATCCGCTTTTCCTGAATTCAAATGATAATTCATGAGCTGTATTGATTCGTTGCAATTACGAGGACCGAAAAACTACTCTGTGTGGAGCCGGGCAATGAGGATTGCAATCCTAGGTCGAAACAAGCTAGGGTTCATTAACGGCACATGCAAAAGGGAGAATTACGGTACAAATCTCGTAGATCTCTGGGAACGTTGTAATGCGATTGTATTGTCTTGGTTGATGAACTATGTTTCTCTAGAATTATTGAGTGAGATGGTTTATTCGTCAAATGCTAATGAGGTATGGGACGATTTGAAGGAGCGATTTGATAAGGTGGATTGCTCTAGGATTTTTCAGATCCACAGAGAAATTGCTACTTCTAGGCAGGACACTAGTTGAATTTCGACTTATTTCTCAAAATTGAGAGTGCTTTGGGCAGAATTTGATAGTTTGGCACCAATTGCTGGTCGTGATGCTGCTAACTCTCGTGAATTTGTTCAATTCATGGAGCGTCAAAAGCTTCTACAATTCCTAATGGGACTGAATGAGTCTTATGAACAAGCACGTAGCCAGCTCTTGATGATGATTCCCGTTCCATCTGTGAACAAAGCTTATTCTATGTTAATGAAGCGTGAGAGTCAGAGGACAATGTCCAACACCTTTACCACTGTTGATGGGGGTGAGATGGCAGCGCTGATGACGAATAGGTCTAGGAATCAGCAGAGGCCAAAGAAAAATTACAATCTTCAGTGTGATGTATGCCACATGAAAGGCCACACAAAAGAAACTTGCTACAGGGTAGTAGGATATCCAAAAGATAACAAATTCAGGAAGAAGTACAATTCCCAGACAACAGCTAATTTTGCAGCTGAAGATGTCCCAGCAACACTAGTTTGGTAGCTTTCTTTCCTGATATATGTGTATTTCAAGATCTCTACACTCGGAAGGTGTTGCGGATTGGTAGTGACACAAATGGACTGTACATACTCAAAGATTGCATATGCAGGAGGAAGCTTACTACACCAACTGTACATACCACAACCATGCCTACTTCTATATCAGTTAGTCAAGATACAATAAAACTGGAGACATGGCACCAGAGACTTGGTCACCTACCTATGGAGAAGCTTAAGAGGATTGATAAGTTCAAAAATCTCCACACTAGTAACAGGAGCAGTGATTGTGCAATGTGTCCTGTTTGTCCATTAGCTAGGCAGACTCGATTACCATTTCCAATTAGTACTAGTAGAGCTAAGGCACCATTTGATCTTTTGCATGCTAATGTATGGGGACCATTCAGAGTACCCACTTATGATAGCAAGAGATTTTTTCTTACGGTAGTGGATGATTTCTCTAGAATTAATTGGCTCTTCCTGATGAATGCTAAAGATGAGACTTGTTGGTTAATGAAAAGATTGTTTTCTATGATCAGTACTCAGTTTGATTGTTCTGTTAAGATCCTGAGAACAGATAATGGTTCTGAATTTGTTAATTCAAATATGAAGCAGTTAGTTGAGACATTAGGAATTGTACATCAAACTACATGTGTTTACACTCCGCAGCAAAATGGCATAGTGGAAAGAAGACACAGATACATCCTTGAAACAGCTAGAGCTTTGAGATTTCAATATGCAGCACCCTTAAGATTTTGGGTGAGTGTGTTCTTACAGCAGTACACATAATAAATATATTGCCTTCTACAACCTTGAAAGAAAAGTCCCCCTATGAAGTATTCTTTAACACTACACCATAATTAGATCACCTTAGGGTGTTTAGGTGTTTATGTTATGCTGCAAATATAAGAAAGCAAGACAAGTTTTCTGCAAGAGCATTGCCAGCAGTGTTTATGGGATTACTCACCAACAAAGAAGGGCTATAAACTGTATGACTTGCAATTCAGGCAGTTTCTAATCAGTAGAGATGTGGTGTTTAAGGAGCAGGTGTTTTCTTTTAAACAGATGAAGATGATGCCTAATCCCTTATTTCCAGTCCTTGAGTTAACAGATGAGCATTTAGTCTCACCTGTTTCTGATGTTGTCAGGAGAATCCACCTACTTCTACCAATGACTTTGCACTTGATGATGCTGATTCACTACTAACTCCCGAAGCACTACTTGATAGTCTTGCACCACAGGATGTTGAGCCTCCTTCACATGTAGAGGTTGTTCAACCAATTGCAGTTAGAAAATCCCAAAGAACAACTGGCCCTCCCAGATGGATGTAGGATTATGTGACAAGTTCTTGTGCATATCGTATGTCCAATTATCTGAGCTATGATGGGTTATCCCCTTCATATGTAAAATGTCTTACTGCACAATCAGTCATTTTTGAGCCCAAACATTACTATGAGGCAGCCAAAGATGCAAGATGGGTCACTGCTATGCAGCAGGAAATTCAAGCTTTGGAAGACAACAAGACTTGGGATATAGTTGATTTGCCTAAAGGTAGAACTCCTATAGGATGCAAGTGGGTATACAAAGTCAAATACAAAGCCAATGGGGAGGTGGAAAGGTTCAAGGCTAGGCTTGTAGCCAAAGGCTTTAGCCAAAAGGAAGGTCTAGACTACAAGGAGACTTTTTCTCCTATAGCTAAAATGGTGACTGTCAGAGCAGTCATAGCTGCAGCTGCTTCAGAACATTGGCACATCTATCAGATGGATGTGCACAATGCATTCTTGCAGGGGGATCTCTTTGAAGAAGTATACATGCATCTTCCTCAGGGTTTTGGCACCAAGAGGGAGTCTGGAGCCAAGGTGTGTAAATTGAGAAAGTCACTTTATGGGCTCAAGCAAGCATCTCGACAATGGAACTTGAAACTCACATAAGCTTTCCAAGACCTGGGATTTGTCCAAAGCCACTTTGATTATTCCTTGTTTACACAAAGGAGAGGTGATGCTTTAGTTGTTGTCCTAGTTTATGTAGATGACCTTCTGGTGACAGGTAATAATCAACAACTTATTCAAGTTGCTAGAGATAACCTTCAGAAGAAGTTCAAAATGAAAGACTTAGGGGAGCTCAGATTCTTCTTAGGCATAGAATTTGCCAGAAGTAAGGCCGGAATCCTCATGAATCAACGCAAATATGCCCTTGATTTGATATCTAATTCAGGGCTAGGGAGAGCAAAGCCGATGTCTACACCTTTGGAAGTTAATCAGAAGCTCACATCAGTAGAATTTGATGAAGCTACGCAGACCAAGGATGATGAGGATACTATTCTGGCTGATGTTGAACCCTATCAAAGGCTTGTAGGAAGGTTGCTCTACCTTACCATGACCAGACCTGATATATCTTATGTGGTTCAGGTCTTGAGCCAATTCATGTACAAACCTAAGAGGTCACACATGAATGCAACCTTAAGAGTCATCCGATATGTGAAGAATGCTCCAGGTTTGGGATTACTGATGTCTTCTGCAAACTCTCATTCCTTGGTTGCTTATTGTGACTCCGACTGGGCAGCCTGTCCACAGTCCAGAAAATCAGTCACAGGGTACATTGTGAAGTACGGGGAATCACTTATTTCTTGGAAATCCAAGAAACAAAGCACAGTGTCAAGAAGTTCAGCAGAGGCAGAGTTTAAAAGCATGGCTTCAACAGTAGCTGAATTGGCTTGTGGGTCTGTTTAAGGAGTTAGGCATCACTGTGAAATTGCCCATAGACCTCTTTTGCGACAGTAAAGCAGCCATACAGATAGCTGCCAATCCAATATTTCACGAGAGGACCAAACATTGACATCGATTATCATTTTGTACGAGAGAAATTGCAGCAAGGTCTCATCCAAACTCATCATGTTAATACTAAGGATCAACTTGCAGATTTACTTACCAAGGCCTTGGGAAAGCACCACACTATCATCTATTGAGCAAGCTGGGAGTAGAAAATTTGTTCCTACCCTCCAGCTTGAGGGGGAGTATCACTACAAGAAAAATGGCCTTCAACGAAGGGAAATCCGGTCGTTAAAGATCCAAATCCCGTCGTTATAAGTCAATAACAACCAAAAAACAAAAAATATCCGGTCGTTAAAAGCTCCGACGTTAAAAGTTAGCGACCGGATCTCAATCCGGTCGTTAAATATCCTTTAACGACAACAAATCTTCCAGTCGTTATTTCCTTTAGCGACCGAATTTTCCTTCGTAAATTGCCAAAGTTCCCTTCGTTAATGCCAATTTAACCATTAGAAAATCTTGTCATTAAGAGTTACAAAGACCACAATTCCCTTCACTAATATGAATTTTAATAAAAATCAATGCATATAGTTATGTTTTTTCCCTGTAGTTTTATCAGTAGTAATCATTATTTGATATACATTCTCACACATACATACTAAGCACCTACATCTCAAAATATACAAAATAATTAAAATTTATTAATGTTTCATTGTTAATTACAAAGAACTAAAGGATCACCCTGTCAGAATATATACCTAAACAAATAGCATGACACTACTTTTATCAACTCTACAAACAGAGATAATAGAACTATAGTAGAATGTACAAATGCCAACATCTTTAAAACACCACTAACAAAACAAAAATACTGTTGTGCTTCAATTTGCTCCGCACTTTCTTCAAGAACAGGTTCGTCGGACTTCAAATTCTTGATCTGTTAAAGAATAAATTCATGTAAGTTTAGTGAAAAACTCCTACTAGCTACTTTATTTAGAAGATAAATAAAAATTTTAATCACTAAATTAACTAAACAATAGGAGTAAATATTGTTTGATTGACTTGATGCAGCTAATGAATAGTTTCAAAAGGTTATCTTTTATGTTTAAGTAGGATGAAATTTGGACCTCAAGCTAGCGAAGTCCTAAGATTTCAAGGCAGAGAAGGGTTGGTAACATGACTATTTTTTAAATTAACAAAAAAGTGTAACGAATGGAAGTATAAAAGCCCCTAATAAATATAATGAATCATAAATAAACAGAATATTAAACTTAACCTAAAATACTATTAACAAGCAATCACAAGTGATAAAAGAGTAGGAAAAATCCAGACCTGTGAACTTGTTAATGCTTCAAGTCCAAATCAAGTCTTCCTCCAATCAAAACCATTCTCCTTAAGTAAAACTTCCCAAGGCTTTGAATCAAAAAGTGATTGACTTCTCTGAGCTCCAGGTGCATACACACATGTGAGATACTCATATTTAAATATTAAATATTAAAGATTGAATTTAGGTTAGAAGTATTACATGATTCATCTTGTATTTGGTTTTTGAAGAAATACCTTTCCATGGATTCATCCCATTGGGATATGCTTGTTATAACAATAACATTGTGCCATAGTGCTTGAGTTGATATAATGAGCTGGCTCTCAAAACCTGTGATACTATGCTCTTTTATCACAACAAAAGTCAATGGAAAAAATAATTAACCGCACAACTTAAACCCAAAAGATAAGTAAGAAACAATCGTCTTTCTTCTTAAAATAAATTTAAGTTTGAAGCATTTCTTTCTACTTTCATCCCCTGTTGTATGACTTCGTTGAATTCTCTGTATTAAATCACTAACATAAACAACGCTTCCGTTTTTCCAGTTTAATAAGATTCACAATTTATTTCAACACTAACTAGAAAAAACATGAAAAGGATAAAACAAACTACCTAAATTACATACATATTTAAGAATATGACTTTTATTAATACGTAGAAAATATCGTTACTAGGTACAGACCATCAGCTTCTTTGTATTCCTTCAGTCAGAGAAGTTAAACTCTTTGGCCTTCCAAGTTTCAACACTTCAATATAGCAGAACAAGCTCCAAAAAATATAGATTACAAACTAGACTAGTCAAAGTCCCAAATGATACTTTTATAAAATAATTAGAAAGAGCTAATGATATTGTAGACAACTAACAATTCATTGCCTATCTGTCAATAAATGAACTTCTTTAATAGGAAACAATTGGCAATTTGAAACCAACTTAAGAAATCTAATTCGGTCAAAGTTGATCACCACCGCTCAAAAAGAAAAAGTTAATCACCAAACCAAATTAATTCGATAAGTTAAAGGCACAACATCTTCTATATCACAGATATCTAAACAGAAAAAATTAACAAAATATGCATATCCAAAGACAGATAACCTTGGTCAGATCAGGCTACAAAGAAGGGGCACAAAAGAAGGTATTTACAGGAGAAACATGCCAAGAAACTTCCGACTCATTCATGACAGAAAACGCCATTGTTACCATCCCTCATCATGTGATTAAAACTCTATGGGTGATATTAGCATTATGTGCTCATTCCCAGAAAGGGATGTCACTGGTGAAAATAAGGAACAAAGAATACTCGAGAAGCATACTGCCCAGAATTCTGAGTGACATAAACATGGAAGTTACACTTTTTTGGCATTCAAAAACGGGAGCTACATCCAATGAATGGTGCCTCACAAAGGCTTCATCATTTTGCTGCTGGAAAACACACGATTTCCACACCAAACAATGCATCCACAACTACTCACAGTCTCACACATTTGCTGGACACTAGAAAAAAGGAGGAATGCAGGCACGCAGGAGTTGCAAGTAGGGAACAGTGATGTAATGTGGAGGACAAATCCTATGCGTACAAGGAGGGCCACACCAAAACATGTGTGTGACTACAAGGTACCAGAACTGGTATTTGATTTTAACTATATGCGGCGAGGTTTCTTGATATCACTACTAGTTACAAGAGCAAAAATGGGATTACATCAAGCGACGAGGAATGCTCATTCCCTACTGGGCAGTGTGGATATTTGATGCTTTTTCTGCATTCATAGGGCTAGTTTCTACTCACGACTTACGTAGATTGCTTTGTCATCTCTCAACTAGTTCAAAATATACTACCATAGTGGAGTATATTTTACTCAATTATGATATTAAGGGCTATGTATTCAACATAGATTATGTCTCTACATCTTTTAACACACTACATTACTTTGGTTTGTTTTCTGATTTTGATTTAGATATATATAAAAACTAGGCCTAGGCATTTGCCTAATGTATTGCTAAGAAAAGGACAGATAACCAAAAACTCATATAGATAATCAGTATGACTAAAATCACCAGTGACACAAAAGAAATATAAAAATAAAATGGATGAAGCTATAATATAATAACCTTTCCGCTGATGATAAGACAATAAAATGACTGATAATTAAAACTAACTTGGTATCAAAGATAAAAAAAGATCATCGATGATAAGCCAGCAATCTTTGGCCTTGTTGTGCTTGTGAACATCCTCAAACACCTGAATTTAACCAATCTGACATCATATTTTCCTACTACTGCACAAAAAACCACTCCAGTAATGCTACACAGAAGTAGAAACCATTAAAATAAAATCAGATAAGGTTCTGCAAAAACCTTACTACTCTGCAGGCTGATGTAAGGATCAATGTGTCTTCAATGTTGATGCTTAGTAACATCCTTTCTCAACAAATCAAAATTATCTATATCTCTTCTATCACAAATCCTAAATTGGACAAAACACCAATTTATAATAGCGAAAACCTCTGGAATCAACAAAACTGAAACCAAGTAAAATTGACTTTCAATTAAGCACAACACACACACACACACAACACACACAGAGAGAGAGAGAGAGAAAGAGAGAGAGAGAGAGACAGACCGAGCAGTAATTGAAGAGGGAGAGCAACAAGGCGATGGTAGCGGAGAGTCCGGTGTCGTGCTCATTTTGCACTTTGGGGCTTAGGGTTCTTAGAATAGGGCAAAGAAAACGAACTGAGATCTTAGCGGTGATTGTTGGCGCTTTTTTGTTTCGGAAAATTCTGCCAAATTTGTAGTAGCATTAACGACCGGATATCTTAATTTTAATGGACCGGATATTTTCCTTTTGTTATTGTCGAATTTAGAATCGTCTTTAACCACCGAAACTAGTTTTGGTCATTATAAATATACCTGTAACGATCGGATTCATATCCCTATGTTAAGAAGTGGTCGATAAAAGATAAATTTTTTGTAGTGTATTGAGCCAAGCAATGTCACTTTGTTAGTTGTTGTAATAGTTAGTTGTAATGACAGTTAGTTAGTTGTACTGATTGTAACTGAAGTTTACTATGATTAGTAGTAGAGTTAGTTAACCATAGTTAGTCTTGGTTTTCATTCATATACATATACATGTACAGATACACGTGATACATAAGAAGAAATAGAATCTTTTGGATTATTCTCTCTCCATCTTCTTCCTCTGTTTTACCTACTTACTCAAACTCATCATATCAGCTTCAATCAGCTAAAAATCCATGGCTGAGCTTCATGGATAGCTGATTTTGACATTTCCAAATGTGTAAATTTTATTTCAAAAACTGAAAAATTCTTTTTCCAAATGCATGGTCAAAATTAAGAAGTTTAAATCTCGAAAATCGAAAAGTGTCACATAAATTGGGACAGAAAGAATAATTTAATTTTTGGCGAAACGATTTTTGAATAGTTTAACTTAAAAAGAAAAAAAGAATAAATGACCATTGCTGCTATTTGAATGAAAAAAATTATTCACACCTAGTATTTCCATCTATAACAAATATACACGACATTTTGTAATCATTTTATCACACAAATATTTTTTTAATTAATAAGTATTATGTATTGTTGCCTCGATTCACCACTTGATTATGATAAACTGGCATAATTTGTTGCAAACATATAGAGGATATGTAATATTTTTCCAACATGTGATCACCTTTCGTTTCACCACTTATGGTAATTTTATTCACATGTGCACGTAATAGAAAAGTTCCACTAAATACAAATTAATGACGACTAATTATTCAACAAAAAAATACAATTCAATGTTATACAGATAACAAATATTGAAACTCAAAATCATAAGGTATCTTCTCAACAATGGTGGACATTTTGCCTCCATTAACACCTCTGAAACAATCAACAATGGATTTCCTCAATGAACCTGATGTAGGTAATTGTTGGCAAATCCACTCTACTAATGAGTCCAAATTTTGAGCAAAGTCATTCATATTTCTTAGCAGAAGCTCTGGTATAGCTATTTTCTTTGTGCTTGTTACAATTAGTGAAGCTTGTAAATATTCTAACTTTGATTTTTCTAACTCAGCTGTAACTCCATCACTTGTATATATCTTCACCTGCACATTCATTTTCATTAGAGCTTAAATTCAGTGTAAATTGTCACTTAAAAGATAAGTACAAGTTACTGTTCGCGTATAGTAGTAACATGAAATTAAATAGCACAAATAACCTGCTATAACATGTAAAAATATATTCTCCCACTATAATTAACAAGTTAACATTCAAATAAGAAAAGGGGAAATATATTACAATTGATTTTTGTAACTTATATTGTCGTACTAGACCCAAATTATTGTCCACTTAATAAGACACTAATCAGACCAACTTTCAGAGTATGATGGGGTGAAGATAAATTTGTTCTTGAAATAATGAATATCTAAAAACTATAATGAATTGGAAGACTCTGAGGGGCCGTTTGGTAGGATGTATCAGAGAAAATAATATATGTATTAGCTTTGGTATTATTAATCTCTTGTTTGGTAGTGTTTTTAAACCTTGTATTAGTTATATATGTCTTATTCAGTACTATTCTTATACATAGTAAACCATGACATTAGCAATACCATAGTTTTTAATGCATGAATAAGCATGTATAAAGAAAAAACTGCCCAACATAAGAAATAATACACCAAACCAACAATCCCAACATAACTAATCCCAACGTTACTAATCTCAGCATCACTAACATACAGTATTTAATATTATTCTTATATAGAAAAATATTTCGAAAAGTGCAATTTAATACTATAATTTTGGACAAAAAAGCAACAGTACTACGTAATGGTAGTAAATTGACTTACTGCTGGAGAAGAACGTGTGCCACAACATAAAGCAAACATTATATTTGGATCGAATGATTCAAGTCCATGTAGTCCACGAACTATAGTTTCTTTATCCTCTTTTTCACCTTTTCGATTGACCTATTTAAATGTCATACCCATGTAAGAAATAATATACAAATAAACTACGTCTCAGTCTCAAAACAAGTTGGTAAAAGTGAAAGGTAATTTACCTCTTTATTTACTGGTTTTCTCAAGATAAAATGCTCGATTGCATGTGCATTTATCGTATTGCCACCAATATTTAGAGTTGCCTGAAAAATAGATCAATCCTTGCGCAAATTGCTACGTAATATATAGGTAATTAATCAAGAAAATTTAATTCCAGAACAGAATTATGAAAATACGAAAGTAATCACCTTGTTCATAAGTGACAGAAATTTTTCAGGATTAGAACTGGAAGGAACTCCATGTTGAAGAAATCCCTGGAATAAGAATTCAAAAAGATATATGTACTTTAATTTATAACTGGATTAAACTAGACATATTAATATTTAATTAGAAAGGAACGAAAAAAAGAAAAGCTTAATCTAGTGTACATGCATGATACAAGCGTTGTACATGTTGATCCAAAATGCTAGCTTCTGTTGGTAAGTCAGCAGTCTTAAATCTACATTTTGTAGACTGTTCATCATAAGCCTGAAATTATAAAATAAATACAAGAAAAAATATTTAGAAGAGAAACCAATGTTGCAAACAGAAAAATAAAAGAATTTAACTTATATGCGGTGAGAATGTAAAGAAACTTTTAGGCTATAAGTATAATTTAACTTGTTATACAACATCGCTATATATAACAGTCATTCACTATATAAAAGCCAAGTTTTTTATAGAATCAATTTCCGTGCTATGTTATAATATATGTTCTCTATAACAACATTTCGCTATAATGTCCAAAAAATTCAGAAAAAGTAAGGTTGTTATAGAGAAGTTTGACTGTAATTGCAGGTAACATACTTTATTTTTCATGTAATTAATATTCCACTTATTATGACAGTTGCTTATAATTATCTTTTAGACGACATGATAGTGTTAAAGTTCTTTTACATTATTAGCGCACAAAAGTTAAACTTAATTATAAGTAATTAACTTGCATATAGGAAAAATATATAAAATAAAATTTCTAAAGGTTTAGACATACTTGAGCTTTTGAAATAGAGGGATGGAATTAGAAGTCGAGATGCATTTTGCCTCCATAGAACTTTTTGCAAATCTAACCAAATTCTTGTAAGGGCCAATATCTCTTGGAATTGATTCTTCTGAATCAAAAATACCATAAGGATCTTGTTGTCTTGAATCTTTCTGTATCAATAGGCTTGTTTTCGAGTTCAAATTTGGTTCAGCTCTGAAACTTAAAGAGAAATTGCTTGACCTAGCAATAGGACCTGATTTTTCTAACTCCATTGCTCTTGATGTTCTAAGCAACCTTATAAATATAAATATCAAACATTTCATAATGTTTTCAGATAATTTATTTGGTGGCCAACGATGAATTGTGTCTTCTTCTGTGTGAAGTGGACTTGGCATTACTTTTGGTTGAAGTTCGTGTGTTGGAGTTGACATAAATTTTGGGATCTCTGCGTTACGTTCTCTCTGAAAGATTAAAAAAATAGACCGAATCAAGAAAATTATACAAAATTTGGAGTTAATTTCATGATTAAAGGACTATTGCAGCAAAGTAAACTAAATTTTTAACAAAAAATATTCATCAACTAATCTAATATTTCGCGTAAAATAAAAATAGTTGAAAAGCGCTAGAAAATCACAATTAAGTTGCCATATAAAATAATTATCGAATAAACACTGTCAAATCGATCATCAGAAAGAAATATTGAAACCGTTCTTTCTAGTAGTATATTTATCGATGCTATTTTTTTTTTTTTTTTTTGCGGCTCTTGTTGTTGCCGGAACTATGTGTTAAGGTTCAACAACTACCACAATTGAATTATTTGGCTCACTCGTTATCAATGGGATATGGGATACTTCCAGCAAGAAATATATTGAAGAGTTAGTGTTAGGCTAGTAGAAAATCAAAGTTTATCATAAGTCTAGTCTAAAATTCCTAAAAACTAAACTCTTTATGAATACATGGGCAATAATAGGGCAATAAAATAAAATTACCAAATATACATCTAAAAACAATATTAAAATTATCTGATATTGTTCCTAATTTTAATTGATTTTGATGATGTGGCAGTGCTTATTTTACATTTTGCATTTTATAGGAAATTTAGGGATAGTAGGTACTTTTTGTCTAAAAAGTTTAACTTTATGACTTTACTGCGATTAATTCGATTGAAATTAACCCATAAAAAAATCTTGAAAATACTATTAATAAGAATCAGAATATTAATAAATAAATAAAGAACTTACTCTTGGAGTTGGATTTCTTGGTTCTCTTAAAGGAGAAGGGGTTTTAATCATCCCACTTTTCCTTGAAATTCTCTCCCCAAATGTTCTAACTTCTTGATGTAGTTGATTTTCCTCCTGATCATTAATATTGACTTTTGACTTCATAATTAATTTCTCATTGATTCTGAAATCATTAAGACCATAATCACCTTTTATAGCTTTGCTAATGAAATGCAATGCCTTAGTCTCAAATGGCAACTTTTGATCATTTAGCCCTTTGAATTTGTTTGGATTTGGTGGAAGTGATGAAGTTATATTATGAGGAGTGTTGATAATTCCTTGTTGTTGCGATTGTTTCAGCTTTGGTACAAATTGTTTGGACTTGGTTTTTTCAGTAATGTTGATTTCCTTCTCTTTATTCACATTACATTGTAGCTGGCTGATTTGGCTTTCCAACTTAACTATTTCATTTTCAACCATGGCTAGTTCTGCAAATAGCTCCTTCATCTACAAAATTTGCAATTTAGTCAGTACCAATTAGTACAGAGTTATGTACTAACGGTTTAAATACATTATCACGTCACTTATAAGATAATAATTACAAGTAAAACTCTATGATATATTAATAGACTTGATATAACATGTTAAACTATATTGATAGTGAATTTTTTTTACACGATCAGTATACATATATAACTTAAATCTATTACTCCCTCAGTTTCAATTTAGATGATATTACCGGCTTGTTATCGATCCAATTTCTTACCAAATCCTATTAAAAATAAAAATAAAAAGTTTGTAACTTTAGTAGGTACATAAGGATGGTTGGTTGAATCAAGCTTAGGTTGAAAGTAAACGTCAGATCCTTTGATGACAAAAGGTAGTTTCTTCATATTCAAATAAATTCTTCAAAAAAAATTTGCATTCTTTAAGTGTAAATTTAGAGGCTATGATTTGCAGTTTAGTGAGATTTATTCTCAAAAAAAATACATAATTCCACGTGTAACTAAATTATTGAAGAAAATCTCACTTTTCTATACTTTTCTTCTAAGCTTGTGTTAATCATGAAATCTTAGGGAGAGGAGAAGATCATTCTATCAAAGTTAGATATACACACAAAAGTTGAAGGCATAAATACTAATTTCAATAAAAATTTACACCAAGAAATTTAATTAAATTACCTTAGGAGGAAGGTAATTTGGACTGCTGAAAGATGAACCGTCCTTTCGCTGATGAACCTTCTCCAGAAATTCATGCACTTTTTGTTCATGATTCAACATTTTCCTAAGCTCAGCAACCTAATTAAATGAGAGTAAAAAACCAAAATAAATAAGTGGTTCTTATATTTCTGGAAATGTATCAAAGATTTGTAGGTCACCTATATATAAGTAAAGTTCTCCCAAAGCCGGAGACAAAAATTACGATTTTTTTCGGAATCCGTAAGAAAGGATAGGACACAGAATAATAAAAGAACAGCCCGTACATTAAGCTCTCGCTATGCGCGGGGTTCGGGAAAGGGCTAGACCACAAGGGTCTATCATACGCAATCTTACCATGCATTTTTGCAAGAGGTTGTTTCCACGCCTCGAACGCATGACCTTCCGGTCACATGACAACAACTTTACTAGTTACGTCAAGGCTCCCGGACACACAATAATAAGGGATATAAATCCTTGAAATCTCCATGAATTAGACTTAATGCACATAAGATAGTTTCCAATTGTCTGATATTTAAAATCTTTATGGTATAATGGTAGATAATCTCTTTTTATTGCTTTACTTATATAGACTTTGTAATCCTAAGAAAATAAAGAGCATATCTTTGGATTCCAACAAATTTAGCAACATTCATTCGTATGACTAACCTACTAAAAGAGCATATAGGCCAAAGGTACATGACCATCACCTATATATGCCAAGTACTTGTAAATAATTGGTCATATTTTAAATACGTATCATGCAAAAGAAATCAAAGAAGAAAAGTACACAGAATCACACCCATACCTCTTTTTCAAGTTCCTCTTTCTTTTGTTGTCCACCAGTTTTGTTCTTTCTCTGAAACATAAACCAACAACATCTCAACACAAAAACAAAAACAAAAAAACAATGGAGGATCTAGAGTGGGGTCTAATTCGACCCTTTATGTGTGTGTGAGAAAAGAATAATAAAAAATACGTAAACATAAAGAACATATCCCGCTGACTCTAAATTCTGAATTTGCCGCTGAGAAAAAGTGTGCACCATAGAAGTCCAAGAACGAAACAAAATGACAAAACCCTAATAGAATTTTGAAATCCCATGTAAGATACTAAAAAATATAAGGCAAACTCACAATAATCTGGGCTGGAAAATGAACTGCCAAATCTTGTTGGTTTGCCATGAGCTAGAAAAAATTCAAAGACTTTATTGTTCCAAGGGAATTGTACTCATGAGGTATTGATTAGTAAACTGTTGTGTTACTATTATTATTGATGAGATGAATATTGAGTATAACTTTAACTTGGGCTAGAAGCAAGGAATGGTATGGTAGGGTTTTTGTGGTGGTTGTGATTGTTGAAGTTGTTGACATATCTAAGTTTTAATATATACTGAGAAATGAAGTATGTGTAAAAACTTTGATGAGAAGATGATGAAAGGGAGCTATCAATATGATATAGTATTATAGTTATAGAAATAGGAGTGAGAGATCATACAAAGAGAGAAGAGCGTTTTCAAATTTTATTTCTTAAAAAAACTTTGGCGTAGCTTGCAATTGCAGAATTTATAGGCCTTAAAGATTACGGTATTTGTTCTTTTTTTGGTATAACAGTTTGGTTTTTGTTTGTTGCCTTAGTAGAAAAAAGATTGCGTATTTTGCAGTATTAAGACGTGTAAATTAAGGAGTAAGTAATAATCATCACATTGAACAAAAAAAGAAGAGATGCGATCAAAAGTAAAAAATGAAAAGTAGTTATGAGTATTGAAAGGTTGCCTAACTTTTGGTTCATTAAAAAAAAATTAAAGGGAAATTACCAGCTATGTCCATTTATAAGTAGCTCATTACAAAAATGGCCAATTGATAAAATATTACTAATATTAGTCAATTAGCTATTTGTAGCAAAAAATATCAAATTTGTGCTTTGTTTTGAGTGGGTGTTATTAGAATAGATTGGGCACAACTTAAGGAGCTTGAATCTCAGTTTTGGGATGATTTGGTGAAGTTTTGAGGTGGTTTGAATTGAAAATTCGAAGTAAAAGCTGAACATGAAAAAAAATGATATGTGTATCACACTGTGTGTCATTTGTGTATCACATATGTATCATATTTGTATCAATTGTGTATCACATGTATATCTATGTATACATGTCTGTGTGATACATGCGTGATACATGTTTGATACATGTGTCGCAGAAGACTTTTTTGAACTCGATTTAATTACGAATTTTGATACAAAACCAGTCCAAATCACCTCCAATCTTCCTCAAATTTTGTATATTGACTTATCTATATATTTTCAATGAATTTCAACTATACCCATTGAAAAAGTTCCTTTTTTGTTTAGATTTTTGGAATATTGTATAGATTTTTGTATTTCATCACCTTATTTGCTACCCCGTCCATGAAATTTCCTTTCCGTCTTGTATCTAATGTTGCTAATCACGCATAAAAATATGGAAGGTGATTTTGCATGTGATTCTTTGAGAGAAAGAACCCTATTATTTGGTTTTTCAATTTTTGTTGGCTAGTTTTGGTAAATCTATGACTAATGGCTAGAGGTTGGTAAGTTGAGATTTATTTGGGACATTTGTGTAAGTTTCCCAAAATTAAACAGGAAAAACAAAATTCAGATGAGGATATAGGTTTCTTGGGCTCGATCAATATCGTTAGAGATATCTATAGATCATTGCAGATATATGTCATTTTTCTAGTTGCCGAATTCGGCTGTTCTCCATTTTTCATTCTCTCCATTTTTTCAAGTTTCTATATAAATAGAAGACACATAGTATTTAAAACTAATGGCTGCGATTTTGTTAATTCAAAACAAGATTCTAATCAAGGTTAAGATTCCATATATTTTTTTTCCAAAAACTCGGGTAATCCCACAAACGTGTCTACACATTGTCTCATCCATAAAAGCTTCTCTCTTTCTTACACGTGTTTTTTTGTGTCTTTGTGCGCTCGTCGTTCTCTATTTTCCTAGTTTATTCATGCTCTCATCAACTATCATTTCTTCCTCTTTGAGTCAATCTTTTGATGATAATTTCTTTTTTGACACTTTTCACTTAAACTTAGATATTGTGAGCTATTAGTCAGTTTTGTTAGTGATGAGTTAGTTAGTCGGTTATAGTTGTGGGATCTAGTAGTTAAGTAATTAGTTAAGTTAGTACAGAATTGAGTTAGTGTGTAATTGTATGTAAAGTTGTATTCATCCATTACAAAATACATATTTTATTTTTCTCTGCGATTCCTCTTTTCTCTCTTAAGCTCACCCCTTCTACTCTCAAACCTAATTGCTTGGATGATTCTGGAAATTGAGCTCAGATTCACCAAGCTCACATGGTATCAGAGCAGTGAAGAGTTGTAATTCCGCAATTTTCTTATTCAATTTGGCTAAAATTTCATCGTCGTCTTCCTCGCGAAGCTGTGACTGACGATCGTCAATGGCGACCGAAAAAATCGATCACACGCATCCTTTGTTTGTTCATCCCTCAGACACTCCTAGTTCTATTCTGATTCCTGTAAAGCTCACAGGTTCGGAAAATTACGGACTATGGCGTCGTTCAATGCGAATTGCTTTGCAAGCTAAGAGGAAGCTAAGGTTTATGCTTGGGACATGCAAAAAGGATTTGCTCAAATTTGAATTGCATGAGGACTAGGAAACGTGTAATGCAATCGTGCTTCCCTGGATCATGTACACTGTGTCTCCGGATTTACTTAGCGGCATTGTCTACGCATCTAATGCACATTTGGTATGGGAGGATTTGAGAGAGAGATTCGGCAAAGTGAATCGTGTGAGGATATTTCAGTTGCATAGGGAAATTGCTACTATTTCGCAGGGAACAGATTCAGCCTCTGCATATTTCACTAGGTTAAAGGAATTGTGGGCTGAGTATGATGCAATGGTACATATTCCTAATTCGAATGAGTATGTTGAACACCTTCCGCAGCAAAGGCTTATGCAGTTTTTAAGTGGTCTGAATGAGACATATGATCAAGCAAGACGTCAGATCCTAATGAAGACTGTGGAGCCAACAATGAACGAAGCTCACCCATTGATTATAGAGGATGAGAGTTAGAATTCTAGTGCACATCCAGTCTTTCCAAACAGAGGAGATTCGGTTGCTATGCAAACAGGTAGAGGGCAAATGACTGTGCAGTATAACAAGGGACAGTACAAAGGAAAGAAGCCATTTGTGAAATGTGATTACTGCAACAAACCTGGGCACTCTAAGGAAAATTGCTACAAACTAGATGGCTATCCAACTGATTTCAAAAACAAGAAACCATATGCAGCTAACATGACAATTGGTGTCTTAGATAATGACAAATCAGCACATCGGGATGAGGGAAGAAGTAGTTATGATGGATTAAAGGTAGGACCATACTTCACTGAGGATCAATATAGACAGATAGGGTGTTCATAAAAACCTGAAAAATCGAACCAAACCAGACCAACCAAAAAAACCGATACTTTTTGGTTTGGTTTGGTTTTGGTTTTGAATTTAAAAACCGATCAAATTTGGTTTGTTTTTGGTTTTAATAAGAAAATAACCGAAAAAACCCGAACCAAACCGACTATAGGAGTAGCTATTTCAAATTTATTATTACACCTCTATATATGTATATTTTTACACAAAGTTTAAAAATTTAATGGTAAATGTTAATAGTTTGCACTTTTAGTATAGTTCTTTACCTTTACATTCTAGTTCGATTGGTAGTTTTCTTTTGTTAAATGTATAGTGTATGTCTTATATTTAAGAAAAAACCGATAAATAACCGAAAATCCGACAAAACCCGACATAAACCGAATCGAGAAAAAACCGACTTAATTGGTTTGGTTTGGTTCTAATATTTGAAAAATCGACTTACTTGGTTTGGTTTCTTTTAAGAGAAAAACCGATCCAAACCGAACTATGAACACCCCTATAGCATGCTAAACAAGGAGACTCCAGAATATCAGGTTAACATGGCAGGTATTGCAACCTCCTTAATGGCAAGCTTTACTTGTAAAGAATGATAATTGATTCTGGATCTACGCATCACATAGCTGGTGAGCTAGATGTGTTAAATACTAAGGGTGTGTTTGGTATGAAGGAAAACATTTTCCGGAAAATATTTTCCAATTTTTCCATGTTTAGTTGGCTTAAATGTTTTGGAAAATATTTTCCTCACCAACTCATTTTCCTCCAATTGGAGGAAAATGTTTTCCCTATCAAGAGGAGGGAAAACATTTTCCAAAACTCCTTCTCAACCTTCCCTACCCTATTCCTTACCTTCACCAATCCACCCCACCCCCACC